TTCTTGTGCTGGAATTGTAGATGTTCAAACTAATTCATTTACTATTTAGTAGACATGTGTAGCATAGTGTCGCTTTCGCTAAGGCCACAAGAAGTGGACCGTGAAGATCGAACAAACATAGTGATTTGCCATGCCAAAGGAAGTTGAATATTTTTATTTCATTTTACTTCTTTTTTTTTATTTATGAATGTAATAAATAACTCTTTAGTGTACAAGCAAGATGTCCCGTCCGTTTTTCGGACGTCTAGTTAAAAAAAAAAAAAAAAAAGTAGACAATAAATTTAAAGCTTTCTTCCCATAGATTATTTTTTTTTAATCTGCATAACATAATTTGTTTTATTTAAATTTATAACATTTTTCAGCAATTTTAAATTATTAAAAAAAAGCGCATTAAATGAAAATCATTTGATTAAGCAGGTAAAAAAAAATGGAAGAAAAAAATGTGAGTCATTAATTCAAATACATAAATTTCTATGTATCGCTAAAAATCTATGATTATTTTATGGGTATAGTTCATGTATGTAAGGAAGTGGAGAGATGGACTAAAGATAATCTGAAAACATTTGCTTTAAACAAATTTCAATAATGTGTATTTTATCAGAGAAATAAAATTCTTTATTGCCTATACAGAAATTAATTATAAATTTATGAGCCAACGAAAGTACAAGAATAATTCATATCAAATACATTGGGCATCTGGCCAATGACAAGGACTGGTTGGCGATGCTACGCTTTTACTTTACACGAACATACAGACACATGCACTATATATATATATATATATATATATATATATATATATATATATATATATATGCATGTGTCTGTATGTATAATAAACTCTCCTGTCGAGATTCGACGTATGAGGGTCAAGCAGATCAGTTTCCAGGAAACCGACAGCCCGACACCGGCACATGAGATTTGGATTATAGTGGTGAAGGCCCCCGTGCAGGACCATCCACACTTTTGAATGAACTAATACAGAGACCTGGTGCACCGAATGCCACAAGGTTCCCAAACGACCCTCCGCAGGTTTTGAATTCAGAGTTGTCCTTCTCCTAAACCAGTTGCCATCCAAGGCTATAGAACCCAGTCTGTCCTGCTATTTTACCCATAGCTGGAGGGAGAGTAAGACGATTCATACCTTTCCAAAGGGTATTAGCACGTAAGTGAATGTAATGGATACGACTGGAATTCGAACTCGGTTCTGCGATTCCTCAACCCAAGCCGCTATCTATTACTCCGCCGTGCCTCCTCTATATATGTATATGTATATAGTGCATGTATATATATATATATATGTGTGTGTGTGTATTATATATATATTTAGTGCATATATATATATATATATATATATAGTACATGTGTATTATATATATTTAGTGCATATATATATATATATATATATATATATATATATATATATATATATATATATAGTATATGTGTATTATATATATATTTAGTGTATATATATATATATATATATATATATATATATATATATAGGTGTGTCTGTGTGTCTGTATGTATATAGGCATACAGAGGTATCGAGTTAACTCTGATAGATAAGTTTTCTTGTGTCAAAGTTGTGTACGACTGTTCGTTTATGTAATATCAGCTTAAAATGTTAAAGTACGCAAAATATATATGTGCATACTTGTCGGGGAGTAATTTAAATATCCACATTAATGTTTGCCTTACATACACGCATACACAAAAACACACACACATCCATTAACTGTAAGAGGAAATGCGAAGTGAAAAGGTAAAAAATTGTTATAGTAATCGACTTAATAGTAAGAGTTATGAACTTTAGTCGTACAATATTATTCTTTCATTCTTTCTTTTCCTTATGTTAATTCTACACAATGTTATAGATATACATTTACAAAAATACTGGTTTTTATTGTACAAAATGTAGGAAGTAATTTATTTAAAACAAAAGACCTTTAATTTATTAACTATAGATCCATATTTTAATTAATTATACGTATAGATTTAAGCTAAAACTTATTTAATGTGTTTCTTGTTAATTTTTTTTTTGGAGATGAAATTGGATGTTGAAAAAATATATTATTTTGGTTGTACTGTCGTCTAACAAAATGAACTTGATGAAATTAAATAAAATTAAATATTTTTATTTATTCTCTCTTCTTTGATTGCTACGATGTCTTTTCTTTTCTTTCAATTCCTTTTCTTTTTAATCATTTTGTTCATTCATTAAATATAATTTTATTTCTGCCTGATACTTGCTTATTTTCCTTTTATCAATGACTTTTTGTTTCTTTTCGTTTATTATTATTTCTCTATATTCCTCATTTTCCCATTTTCTCTTCCTTATTCTTTCTTCGTTTTCTATCCTTTCCGTCTTTTCCCTTTCTTTTACTACTTTTGTTGATCGATTCCACTATTTCATTTTCCCTTTTTTATCTCTCTTTTCTCTTCATACTTGCTTCTTAAACTGTTTTGTTTCTCTCTTTCTTTTCTGTTATTTCTTTCTTTCTTTCTTTCTTTCTTTCTTTCTTTCTTTCTTTCTTTCTTTCTTTCTTTCTTTCTTAGCATACATTAACCTATATTTTGTTTTTTCATTCATTTGTTCTTTTTTGAAATTATAATAATAATGTTGAGGTGGGTGGGAGAAATGAAGCAGACTTAGGATGACTTTCTGTCACTAGGTCTCAGCAAACAACCCTCAAGTAATAATAATAATAATAATAATAATAATAATAATAATAATAATAATAATAATTTATTCAGTTTCATTTGCCCCGTGAAACACATCCTGTTCCATATGTCAATAGATCTCTCGTGCATTTATTACTTCATTATCATGAAGTTCATCACCATTATCAATATTATAAATTTGCAAGTTCACATGGAGCATCGTCTGGTTATTTGCATTTTTCTTTCGCTGATTTCTGGGAAATATTGTAGGAGATCAAGTGGCAACAAAACTAATAAAATCACCAACACGTAACTCTTACTATTCGTCACAACATTATTATTATTATTATTATTATTATTATTATTATTATTATTATTATTATTTCAGTAAAGATCTTGTTGGGATCAAGTGACAGCAGGTCACATTATTACTTCAGCACTCTCCTCAGTATTCTGCAATTGCCGTTATTATTAATATTTGTACTCTTGGAGTTTTTGTTCCAGTAGGAATCAATGGCATACACTGGAATTCAAGTGACAGCAAATCTCTCACTCTTCCAGTACTCTTCTCAGTACTCAAGCTAATTATTATTATTATTATTATTATTATTATTATTATTATTATTATTAACACACTAATTAAAAACCAATACCATCATTAAAATTATTATTATAATTTTTATCATTATTTAAAGTATATTTATTTTCATAATTTTTTACTATCAACAGGATTAACATTGTAATTATTATTATTATTATTATTATTATTATTATTATTATTATTATTATTATTATTATCATGTGTCTTTTTTGTTTTCTATCCCAGATACTAGTCCACTCAGTGTCAGGGCAAGTAGTCTTTTAATTATTGTTCCTGATATTTTTTCCAATTAGTTTCATTACAAATTTTATATCCACGGATTACATTTTCTCAGATATTCGCCTTTTCACGTTTTCTCTTTCTGACAAAAAAAATTTCTGTTTTGGTTTTTTTTTTTCTTTTCTTATTTAGCCGCTTATCTTTTCAAAAGCATTTTTCACTTTTTATATTTCTTGTTTTGTTTTTACAAACAGTTTTTTCAAACTCATTCTTCATATTCTTTAAAAGCATTTTAAAATTATTCTTGCGGATTTACAACTTCTTTTTTTTCTCGCTTTTATTATTTTTTTGCCCATTTTTGGCTGCCTCTTGTTTTCAGATTCATTTTTTATTTCTACATTTTAAATTATTTATCATCCATATTGTCTATCATTTATATTTTTTTATGTTTTCTAATTCCTAAATTTAACTGCAAGAGAATTTATGTCCTGTTATATATCAAGAGTATTTGACCCTTAAATTATTACCCATATTTTTTTCTAATTAAGCATTACTTTAATTAGTTATCATTTATCTCCCCTAATCTTCTATGGGCCATGTCTCTTCAGGACGTGGGTGATCATAACCCTCCACAACTCACTGTTGTAGCTCCTGGCAACATTAATTTTTTGCCAAGTCCCTACATCCATGACACAAGTTCATCAGGTATTTGGCCCGCTATTTTCCTTGGCTCTTTTGTCTGAGATATGTCTTAGATATGTCTTAGATATGTCTGAGATATGTCTTAGATATCTCTTAGATATATCTTAGATATGTCTGAGATATGTCTTAGATATGTCTGAGATATGTCTTAGATATGTCTTAGATATGTCTGAGATATGTCTTAGATATGTCTTAGATATGTCTGAGATATGTCTTAGATATGTCTGAGATATGTCTTAGATATGTCTGAGATATGTCCTGTATGTGCTAAATTATTCAAGCCCTTCTTCCTCATTATGTCCCAGAAATTTCAGCTCCTTATTTCTGATTCTAAGTGTCGTTTTTTGTTTCTTGTTTTCCTTAAATTTGTAGCTTATGCAACTCCGTTCATGATATTCTCAGTATCCTTCTGTAGAACCACATTTCTGTTACTTGCAGTTTTTTCTTCATATGTGAGGAGATTGTCAAGTATCTATTGCCATACATATTTTAAGAAAAAGTTCAAATGGGCAGCTGATCTCAAAAATGATCTACATTTTGTTGTTAACTGGGACAAAGAATGGCTTGTTAATTTAAACGCCTCCAAAACGAAACGGTTCTCTTTTAATCGTCTGAGAGAACCCTTTTTACCTTCTATCAGAATCACGGTGCCAATCTACAATTCGGTCTACAATTTTCCGCTGATATGACGTGAAAAAAATCAATTGCTAGATCTGCTGCTAGAAAATCTGATTTCCTGTGTCTTACTAGACATTTTTCTCGCCCAAATCTATCTTACATATTTATAAGTCTACCATTCATCCATAGTTTG